ATTACACGTTAATGACAGCCTGAGAACCATGGACTCTGCTGCACTACCACTGGCAGCAGTCATGGCAGAAATGAACAACGTGGCCAGCATGCAGACCAGGAGGGCTATGTTTGCTCATGGGTTGTCAAGCCTTACCTGGCTTGTTTCTGAAGAGCCTTAAAAAGCAATGAGTATCAATATGATGTTAATGTTACAGCTTTACTTATTTGATGATAAGAGACAGGTTGTCTGAACAAGACAAGGTTAATTTTTGTGACCCCTCTGTTTTCTCTTGGCTTTTTCATAAGGACCTGCAAATCACCTTATATTGGTGCTCTCGCCATTGAACAAGAAACAAAGGCATTGCAAGGTTAGTGACTTGTACAAATAGTTTTTCAGCTCCTGTAGCAGATGTGCAACAGTTTGAATAGCTGGTGTATGCACAGCTTTTAGAGTGACTTTGAAGGGAGTTATACTGTACCTTGGTGTTCCCAGGAGGCTTCCTATTCTCTCTTCTTCTGTAGCAGAGCACTGGCATAGATATACCCTGGTGGGGTAGAGTGTGGGGGCTAGTGGAGCTTGCATCAATTTAAGAGCAGGCTGAACAAACATATATCAGGAACAGTATATGAACAATGAAGCCTTCTTAGGGCCAGAGAATGAAGCATACCAGTGTTTCTCAGCCTGTGGACCTTACACCTCTGGCAGTCAGTAAGGAAGCAGTGGGTAGTCCACGAAATAAACACAAACACTCAGCAACCATAAAATGGATGCACACTTCCTTATATCAGCAAACAAAGAAAATAAAGGGAAAATGCAGTTACTAAATGAACATCTGAAGTTAAGCTTCATTATTTGCTTAGTTGTTTATGGAAACTGTTGTGCCAATGTTTGGTTGGTTTTTTTTCTTTTTGTCCTAACACTGAGATGATCCTTGGTGTTTAAAAACAAAAAGCACTGTGATGATGTTTTGATTAAATTGTAAAAAAAACCAGAGAGGAGGAACTCTCAAGATTGTTACCAACTCTGCCTTTTTATGATTCTCTACTTCTGCTCTCTGCTTTATCATCTTTGCCACTATTTATGTTTCTCTTTCTTCCTGTCAAAAAAAAAAAAAAAAAGGGTAAATTGTAGGTGCAGCAAAATACTCCCATTAGCAATGTTTATATCAGAAAGTGTTTTTCCATCTCTCAGCCAGTGAGGATAATTCAGCTTACTTATACAGAATTCATAGATCTACTATTCCCAGGCTCATGTTCTTTCTGTTATATCTTACCATTCCGTCTCCATTTCCTGTAATACTGCACCTTCTTCCTGTAATTTGCGTGCTCTCCGAGCTGCCTGCCCTCTTTGTGCCCTGAACACTTTGGATGCTTTCCCCACTTCCTCTCTACTTAGTTTGTTCTTGCTTTTTCTTACTTTTTTTCCCCATTTTCCTCTGCACAAAGATACCTTTTCTGCTTTTAAAGTAATTAAATTAGCAGAGCTGATTGAAATCTAGGTGAACTAATTCTCTGAACAACTATGCTTTTCGATGGATGCATAACTCAATGCACATTAGCCAACCTTCTGTAGACCTCACTGAACGGCATAAATGATTATTTAATGAATATATTGAACAACAATAGCATTATTCAAACACTTTACTCAATAAATTACATTCAGCACACTCAGAAGTTAATGGTGCATTCTGTTTGCTCAGCAGAGCACATGTGCAGGCTTAGGGTAGGTGATCCAAGCCACTGGTATGTCTGAGGGAAGCAGGGCATGTGGAGGGTCTTCTGGTCACTTGTGTCTCTAGTGAACAGGACAAGGTGCGTGTGTTGGTGGCAGGGGCTGTCCAAGTCACATCTAGGGAATAAATGATGTATATGAGGAGGAAGAGGAATTACCTGCTCTAGGTTCCTGGCTGGCAGTAGAAGGAGCCCAGGCACTTGTTTTCACACTCATCCCTGGTACTAGAATTTTTTCCAAGTTGGAGGGGGTGTGTGTGTGTATGTGTCCGGAGCAGGAGGTTGAAGTAAATCTAACCTCAAATCCCTGCTCTTCACTTCTTGCTCCATTCAACTTTTTCTTGAGCACTTGGAACAAATCTTTTACTGTTTAAGACTCTTTAGTGCCTCCTTTGTAATTTCCAATAGAGGCTAAGTCTTTTTGTGGTCTTTATTTCTACAGTGCCAAATAGATCCCCCTTTGACCCTTTTGTTGCTTTTTTAAACTTTTGAGTCATTTCATTATTAGCCTCAATGATGGACATTGCCTTGATGCAAAATGATGACATCTGTATTTTCTACAATATCTACTCCATTTCTTTAGCCAGCTTCCCTTCTTGACTCCCTTTGATTCATTCTGCACAAAATGAACCTCCTCCGAATGCAAAGGTTGATACCGTTCTTTGGCTACAAGAATTTGGATCACATTTTTTCCTCTCTTGTTCTTATGTTAGAGTATAGTTTTGCTAATGTGTCACGCCCTGACACTACTCTTGGCATCTGTTTCCATATGTACTGCCACTTTTAGAAGTGTTACAAAACCTCATAGCACTGTCATCTTTTTCATACTGCTCAATTGTGTGCTTACTTGAAGATTTATCTTTTTTTGTTGTCTGAATCCTCACCTTTCTCTGAATTTCATACAGCCCATATGTTTTTGTCTTCTGTAGTCTCAGCTAACTTAACCTCTCATCAGTCTGTGCCTGTGCTGTTCCATGAAGTCAATTATTTCTTGTTCACCTGTTAAGTAACTCTTTATCTTTGAAGTCCATTTTATTTTTCCATTCCATATGTTCTTTGCAATGCTTCAGCGAATTAATCTTATTTTCAAAGTATACAAAAGCATCAGTTAACATCCGCAACCTTCTATAACAACAGTGGTGCATGAAGCAAACCCAACCTTTCTAAAGGCACATTTGCAGCTCCTTTGAATGGAGGATCTATGCTGGTTACAACCCAAACAATACCATGAGACAGGCTCCTTTAGGCTTGTGGCTGAAGATTGCCCTACACAATCATTTCTCAACATCAAATGGAAGCCGCAAATGGAAACATATAACCAAAGGTCCGCAGGGTTCTGGCTGCAGAAGCACTGCTGGCCACAAGGCCTGCCCTGCAGTCCTTTAACAAATTTCAGTTTCTCATCAACACAGCACGTAGATCAGGAACCATCTTTAGTCCTGTGAAATCCCTGCTGCCTCACTGCCAGGCTTCTAGGTACCAGAATATGTTGCTGTCTTTCAAAATAGCTTTGCAGGAATTTCATCCATCTGATCTTTTGGCTGGCTAGAATTTGCCCATTGCTCAGGATCTGCTGGAGACTTTTGTCAAAGCCTTGATCCTCATTTTCTTTGGGCAGGACTTCCTTTTCCCCTTCACATCCTTCTCCTCAACGTGGGATTGGCAAAAGCAGGAATAAAGTTATTCCTTTCTAATCCCTCTTGCTGCTCAGGTGAGGAAGTAGCAGCTCAGCTTTGGGAAAAGAGACCTCAAGGTAAATTTCTCGATCTGTATTTAGGTATCTCCATGGCCTGATTTCCACCAGTGTGGGTTCACGCTGATTTTTGTGTCTTGCTGCTGACCCAGCACATCTTTAATTTCTGTCCTGACTTGTGCAGCTGGAGGGTCAGAACTGGTGTAGCTTCAGTCATGGATTGATAGGCGACATTATGCTTTTTACATTAGAAAGGGATGGTGCAGTTCTTATGGCCATTAGCAAAAGCCCACACATAGCTGTACTTGTTTTTCATGGCATGACAAAATTCACTCTTCCCTTCTATAGTGCTTGTGCACATCTTAAAATTTGAGGAAAGGCTTTCTGAGGTTTTCCTTCAAATCTCCTGCAGTGGACAGCTCATCCACAAGCTGCGTTCATACATGTCAGTATTCACACTCGCTCACATGAACGTTTTGTTTTCTTGCCTGTGCTTTATTACATAGTACTGTCTTCATGCTTTGCTATTCAGCTCCTTTGAGACTGGTGTATTGACTGTATATTACTTAACTAGAGAGCATTAAAGCCCTAGTGCTGATGTCTTGAAGAGCTGGATTTAAACTTCTGCTTGAGCTCTAATTGCAGACAGGGAGGACAGAAATAGCTCTTTAATCACAAAGTCACCACCCCGCCAAATATATTTAAGAATCTAAGCATATGTCTGATAGGATAGAAGCCAACTGATATTCCCATTATTCTTTTTTTCACCTGCAGCATAAAGGAGGAACTTGGTAATAATCCTTCATGAGAACATCTCTTTTCAACATCCTTCCCAGTATAAATCAGCAATATATTCGTTATTTCTGCAGCTGTCCTTCAGCAACTCAAGTCAGTCACCAGCTCAGCAGCACTACCAATAGCAGTGTAGGAATACCCAGATAGGCAAATAACCTTATTTTCCAGCAGAAGTCTGAGTGTAGGCAGAGGTCACGGGGGGCTGCAGAACCAAGGGACAGCAAAAGAAGTACTGAGCTTTCCATCTGCGTTGAGCTTTGTGATGCTGCGGCCTGATTACTACTCGTACACAAACTTGCCAGCTGATGAACTTGCTCATACACTCAACTTATTAGTAGGGTAGTCAACTTATTATGGGACACTTGACTCCTATACATAAATTTGAAAGTGAAATCGGATTTGACTGTGATTAGTATTTGCATAACTGACAGCGCTAAGTTGAGCATAGCTCAGTGGTACAGTGCTAGCCTGAACTCACCAGAGAAAGCTCGAAGAGATCTTTAGAAAGAACAGGCACATTTACTTGCAGAGGACAGTTTAACAGCATGATTAGGTTTCAGACTAATTGACAAAACCTACTTGAACAGCAAATAAATTTTATATAATGGCCGCAGAAGGTACAAATGATCAGCACTAAGAACAGTTTGTTGTTATCCTTTTAAAATGCTTAATAATTTTAAATTTCTTCAGCTACTGCTTATATTTCACCTTGAATGAACTTCTCCTTTCTCTCCACCCAAGAAAAAGCATCTCTGATATTGTGTTTCTTTGATACAGCATTTCCTTCCTTGAGGAGAAAAATGAGCTGGGAATTCCTATGTGATCTACTGAGTGGAGTGAATAAATATTCAACAAGAATTGGAAGAATCTGGGTAGCAGTTGTGTTCATGTTCCGCTTACTGGTTTACATTGTGGCCGCAGAAAACATCTGGAAAAATGAACACGATGAATTTGAATGCAATATCAGGCAGCCTGGTTGTGAAAATGTCTGCTTTGACTATTTTTTCCCTGTCTCCCACATCAGACTTTTGGCTTTGCAATTAATCATGGTTTCCACCCCTTCACTCTTGGTTGTTTTTCATGTTGTTTATCGAGAGAACAAAGAGAAACACCATAACCAGAAACTTTATAAAAGTCCAGGAGAGATAGACGGTGGATTGCTATGCACTTACCTTATCAGCCTTATTTTAAAAACAGGATTTGAAATAGTTTTTCTTGTTCTGTTTTATAAATTGTACAATGGATTCAAAGTACCACGCCTCGTGAAATGTGACATAAGACCATGTCCCAACACTGTACATTGCTATATTTCCAAACCCACAGAGAAGATGATTTTCCTCTATTTTCTGGTGGCATCTTCATGTCTCTGCATTGTATTAAATCTAAGTGAACTGAGTTATCTCATTTTTCAAATACTCCATAAAATGTTAGCCGAAGATGTATATCAAGAAACGTCAAGGCTCAAAAAGTGATTGCCACAAATCAGACATCATCAGTCACAACAGATCAGCCGCTGGAGGACGGTTCTACAACAGCTCCTTGTCCTTGTCTCTGAATATACAAGACAAACATGAAAAAAGCTCCCCATTGACTTGAAAGAAGGTTAGAAACTGCCTTCCCCTTATACAAGCTGTATTTGGTGAATTGCTTTTCCAGTCACTGCTTTGCAGAACTGAAAGGATAGTTCCATTGGAAATATTTTTTCTCTATTAGTTCCCCCTTGCTTGACTGGATAAGTTCAGTCGCATTATGTATGTCATACACAGAATCATCTAGATCTGTTCATCTTGAAACAAGAGGTATAGGAGTCTGAAAATTCAGTGAAGTTTTAATATAAACACAGATGCTTACAATAAATCATGATGAAACAATTGCTCAAGCAGTTGTGTTTTGAATATTACACGGAATTGTTTTGGTACAAACACAAAGAGGCTTTTTCTATGCAGAGTTGGAAGAACCTGGGATTAAGAGGCTGAACAATAAGGGGATGTACAGCATTTGTCAGGTGGGTGGATCCGATAGCCATTGAAATAGCAATTGGAAAGAGCTGGGGTACAGCTTGAAGTGAGCTGGATGGTCACAAACCCATTCCACTGGACTACTGTAAAACATATCAAAAAAAGGAAAAAAAAACTAAGAAGAGGTAGACAGACTTGGTTATTCAGCTATTTGTGGAGCACCTCCTTCTGGAGGTATTTGAGCCTTTTACAGTTTTTAGGGTATTTATCATCAGAACACATCCCATAAGAAAAGGTACTTGCTGAAACTTGTGCAGGCAGCATATACTGGACTTAATTCCTGGTCACCAACACTGAGCAGCTCCCGGGTCATTAGACTTTTCTTCTGCTCTGTGGCTGTGGCATTTAAGGGAAAAGACCATTCCTAATCCCCTAGGATCCCAGTAGAGAGATACAGAGTGCACAATATGGTGAAACAGTAGCCAGTAGTCCCAGCGTTCAGTAGCCTGGAATCTTTAGTAAGCCCTTTAGTAAGGCTGCAAATACCTTCATTAGATTTCCCTGCCATAGAACATGTGAGATCTAAAATATGAAAGGCCTCCAGAAGGAATAAAATAAAGAAAAGAATTACCTATTTCCTCCCCCAAATTTCAGAATCTCTCTTCACCACCACACACCTCTGCTCTTTGTTATGTCTGCTGCTTGGGCTAACAGGAAAGGGACAGAAATTAGCCAAAATGTGTCTTCTGTTGAACCTAGACTCGTGAGACAATAGAAATTAGTGCCTAAAAAGACTTATTTCAGGGTAGCGTTCTCTTCCCATTGCTGGGATTAAAAGACCTATACCATCAGAACTGAGCCTGATGAAAATACACCCTTTAGAGAAAAAGGCTGCCTGCAATAAGTGGAGCTGCCTGAATGTGGAACTGATTTTATTGTTCATGCCAGGATAAAGAGGAGAAAACAGTAGCAAAAGCATGTTAACCATTTTTCACTCAAATAACCCTCAGCTTTGGTTACTATTATGAGTACTGGGGGTAGCAGTTACAAAACTAAGAACTAAGGAATAAACTGTGCTTTTGACACTGATTTTCAAACTTTCTTTGCTAAAATAAAGCTGCTTTTATAAAAGGTGAAAATACATTTGCTGCTGCCGAACTTAAAAGCGACAGCCATCCCTCAGATACTAGCTTGCCAGCTTGCGGCCAGTTAAAAGTTTTACATGGGTGTGTATATCGAGACAACGCACTTTACATAACTTGAGAGATTTTCTGTTAAAACTCTACATAGGCAGGACGTGGCTGATGGCAGAAATGCAGTTAGAAACTCATTTGCAGTTCCTGGACAACACCCACCAAGGAGCGCATGAAGCAAAACTTGTCACCCATCATCCCTCTGTGACTGCTGCAGTGTGAGTAACTGAGAACTAAAACCAAAATTACCTTGGCCCTTTTGTACTCTAATGCACAATTTTTTAAGACAAAGGCAACGCTATCAAAATAAAAAAAAAGTTTCCAAAATTACTGGATTTTTTTTTTAATTATTGAGGACAGATCTTCAGACAGCACATGAATGAAAAAGTATTTATTCATTTTTTTTAAAAGCAAGGTTTATTTGAGAGAAAATGAAGAGAAGCAAACACAGTTTAGCCAACACAGGTTTCTGATTAAATTTATGTATTAGCTGCTCTCTAATAAAAAAAGTATATTAAGTCAGGGCTTGAAGGGTTTTAGAGCATCCCCTAAAGCTCTGTGGCTGGTCAGAGCTTCCCACTTAAACCAAAAATTTTCCTGCAAAACAAGAACTTTAATTCTTTGGAATGTATATTCAAGGTTTTATTTCTAATTCTATCTTCGACAGCCATGAAATGACAAATAAATTCCAAAAATCAACAGGTTTCAAAGTCTTGGAGGATACTTCAGTTTTGACAAAGCCAGTACCTTACATGAGAAATATTCTGAAAAGTTATTACGGACCAACTCTGTGTAACCCCCAACTCACTCGTAGCAAACTGCCAAGCGGCTTTTACATCATGTGCTGCAAAATTAGCGTGTTTGACAGAGCCACTAACGAAAAGGAAAGGAGCATCACACAAGGCAGCTCTGTCAGATCTTACTTAACCTGAGAGAACAGAAACAAACTCGCTTTCTGAACACTTGCTCTTGGCCAGCATTTGGTCTTTTACTGGCTCCTTCCCTTCCACAGCCCTTTCCCTGCCTTTATAGTCCTTTGTGCTCCCTTTTAAGTTTCACTCATCCATCCATCCCTGAAGTCGTTTGCTCTTACATTTTTGGTTCAAATGAGTTTGTAGGCTCAGTCCCTAAACTAAAAGTTTAAGGATTTTTTTTTTTTTTTGTGTATTCAACTTCCAAGTCTCTCAGACAAAAAATTAAAAAGAATTCAAGTGCTATTATTTTTTTGCTTTTTAAAATGTAAAAGGACAGTCTCCTCAAACACACAGCAATTGGTAGGAAGCTGTTCTGAGCCCATTCTGTATGGAGAAATAACGTGATCACTCCACGCACATTCATACAAAAATATTTGCCTCGTTCATATTTCAAAACCTCTCTGCGAACATTACAAGATCCAAGTCTTACACAGATCCTCATTTTCTTTAAAACCCAAGTAACCTCCTTGCCTTCTGACAGATGAGGTTTGAAAAAAAGTCAAGGAAAAAATATTTCCCTATTTGCTGATAGTTCCTTCCCTCTACTCCCACCTCCAGCCAGGGGGGAGCACCAGGACACGAGCAGGAGCTCCTCTAGCTAGGGGGGCCTAAACCTCAGGGCATTGTGTCCCTGCTTGTGCAGGTGGGAGCCCCAACCAACCAATTCTTTGGCACAGAAACTAATTGCAAGAATATAGCCAACTGCTTTCCCTCACCTCAACCAATGACTGTTGTTAGTGTTGCTTTTACGAGCATCCCTCCCTCGCTATCCAAGAGCTGTAGACAGGACAACCCAGCAGAATGCTCTGGGACCAACAGTCCCCCCATCCTGCCGAGAACCACCACACCAAAACATGCGAGGACAAATCCACTACTCATGTACGCTGAATCAGGGCTCAATGTCAGACTTCTTTACATAGCTAACCACAAGAGAGGCCGACTGCCCATCTAGAGATGTCTTTCAACCACACAACAGCCTGTACTCTGCATCCAGACTCCTTGATTTGGTTGCTTCCCCATCGGCAACAATTGCGTTAGTCGGCACATTCCTGGTGGTGGCGAGGGGTTTAAAAGCATCTTTGCTCAAATGCACCACAGTTCGTGGGTGACACGTCTGGAAGACAGAGATACAGAGGAGGAAGGAGAGGGGGGGGGAAGACAGAGAGGGACCGGGTGGCGGGGGGGGCCGGAGAGGGCCCGGGTGGCGGGGCAGGGGCCAACAGCACCAGTGGGTGTTGGGGCACCCTGCCAGCAGAGCCGGGCTCAGCCACCCTGGAGGCCCATCCTGCCCAGCAGCCCCCAGGACAGGGGAACGGCTCTGGGCTCCGGAGGAGCTGTCACAGTTCAGGCGTGCTGCCACAGCTGCAGCAGGAGGTTTTATACATCACTCAAGGTAAAATATCTAAATGCAAATACCAAATTTACTTCCTTGGGAACTTTTGCAGGTGGCTTTACCAAACCACAGTGCCCTCTGCAGTCCATGACATCTTAAATCAGATCCTGCCTTCGGTTTCCCACTTGAAGTTTAAAATACTTTTTTAAAAAAAAGGAAAAAAATACCAAAGTAGCTTACATGTTGGACAGCCTGTCCATATCCACCTGAAAGACAGTCTGCCATGTAGGGTACAGACTATATTGGTACAGCATCCACTTCAATTGGATTAATTGGGATAAGAATGAGACAGTATTAAAAATCTCATTCTCAGAAATTCAGACCCAAACCTGAAATTATTTCCTTGATATTTATGACATTGGAATTTTTGTCTTTTTTTTTTTTTTAACACAGCATTCTAGTATAGCACTGTGTAGCCAAATAGTTGTACGCTATTCTCAGTCTAAAAACTGCAAATGATGCGGTACCTATCACCAGAAATGTCAACATTGAAACTAAGTCACACAACGCAAAATTCTTCTAAAAATTAACAGTTGTGAGGTCTGTCAACAGCAACTGCAGTGGTTAGGTACATCTGAAAACAAGGTATTTCAGGCGAGCTTTGTGGATCCTCTCCAGAGGAGGTTCTCTGCCCTCTTCTCCCCTGCAGAAGATCCCTTCTACAATCACCGTGGCTGGCATCAAACAGCAACTCCATCCAGGGAGACTGCACGGCCTCTGGTAGGTAGAACGTGGCATCATGCGCTTGTCACAATAATCATGATCTCTCCTAGAGTTCAAATGCAAGGATTTGTTTTGGTTTTATCATTCTCAGACCGCACCTTTGATTTACTAACTTATCAGTTTAGTCACTGATAGTGAGAGGACTGATCGGGCTCCGTTCAAATGGAAGCACAGGCTTTCTGAGAAGGTATGCAATTTAGCACCAGATAGCAAACCAAGGGCTATGCCCAAGTTGAAATGCTGTTGCCTTTCTGCTTTTTCACACATATTCCTCACTCTCACAACAAGTCACTTCATTTGGTTGTAGGAATGTGCCCTCTGCATTGATATTCAAGTAAACTGTCAAAGATTCCAG